TTGGGAGGTGATCCCTCATTGTAGTTAGAATTTGCATTCCTCTACTAATGAGCTATGGAGGTGCTCTTAGGATTTCCCCCCCCCCCCCCCGCCCCGCACTGGATAGAACCTTGTGACTAAAATTTACCTCATTGCATATCCTGAAATTCACCCTCTTTTGTATTTTCTCATCATTACCTACCAGTACATTTCTCTGGGGAGGTTTCATTAAAAGCTCGGCAGGTCTATGAGGCAATTCTCCTCGGCACTGGTTTTCCAGCTGTTACGGGAAGCGTGGCCAGGCAGCAGTATTTGCTCATTCTAGGCACTGGTTCTACAGGGAACAAGAAGACCAGGGTAAGACCTGCTCCTGGCTTGTTCCTGGGAACCCTGGGTGCCAGAGGAGATGCTGTCTCAATTCTTCCACCCCTTACCCTTAACCCTGGGACACATCTCAGCTTATACTAAGGATGGGTGCTGAGGTTGCTGTCCTCTGTGGTGAGGTCTCCAAGGAAGGAGACTGGAGGTGTGGTCCCCGAGCACCAGGAGACGTAGCATCCAGCTGACTTTTCAGAGCTCTTGCATCCCAGGGGGTCTGACTTGTTTTCCGTGCACTTAGCTTAACTTACTTGTTGGATGGCCCTCCTGCATCCAAGACAGTCTGGTCCCAGCCCGAGGTTCCCGGCACCACAGGTCCAAGGGGGTTGCTTTTTTGGCACATCCTTCCCAGCTCCCTGAGCCCCATGAGAGTCCTGCCTTGGGATCCAGCCTCAGATACCAGGGATGAAATACCAGCCCCAAACAGCCAGGCATGTGGGGAATAAAGTCAGCTTTTCCCCCTTTGGAGATTCCCTGGTGGCTCAGATGGTAGTGTCTGCCTGCAGTGAGGGAGACCCGGGTTCGATCCCTGGGTTGGGAAGATCCCCTGGAAAAGGAAATGGCAACCCACTCCAGTATTCTTGCCTGGAAGATACCATGGATGGAGGAGCCTGGCGGGCTCCAGTCCATGGGGTCATAAAGAGTCACACATGACTGAGCGACTTCACTTTCTTTCCCTTTTAGATTGTCGTTTTTTAGTTAATGTTGGAATAGAGTCGATTAACACTGCCACATTTGTTTTAGGTGTGAAGCAGCTTGATTCAGTTCACTGAGGTGTACATCTGGTCTTTCTCGGACTGTTTCATATAAGTTACTCCACACTGTTGGGAAGAGTTCCCTGTGTTAGACAGTAGATCCATTTTTTTTTTTTCCTGTTTTATACCTGTCAGTGTACAGATGTTCATGCTAAACTGCAATGTTATTTCTCTCTCCCAGCTTTCCCCTTTGGTGACCCTAAGTTTCTTTTTTTAAGCCTGTGAGTCTGTTTCTGTTTTACAAATGGGTGTTTTTGTATCAGTTTCTAGATGGTTCTTGGGGGTGACAGCATATGCTGCTCTCTTTTGCTGACTTGCTTCTCATTGTATGAGTGTTTCCCTGCCCATTGTAACTGGGCTTCCTGGACTGAGTGCCCCCTTTTATATCCATTGGATATCTTCCTCTTGTATCTGTTTGATGATGAACAGCTGGGGCCTGACTTCCATTTCTGAGCTCTTGAAAGCATGTTGCAATGAAACTTCAGGTGAACGAATTTCTTCTTATTACAGTTTCACTCTGATATAAGCACAGATGTGTGATTACAGGTCACATGTAGCAATAATTAGTTTCTTAAGAAACCTGCATAGTGTCCTCTGTGGTGGCTATTGCCAGTTTACCTTCTGAGCAGAAGGCTAGGAGGAGTCCTTTTCCCCACACCTTCCCCAGCATTTACTATGGGTAGAGTTTTTAATGATGGCTCCTCTGACTGGTTTGAGGTGACCCTTCATTGTAGTTAACATTTGAGTTTGTCTACTAATGAGGGATACTGAGCATCTTTAGTATTTGTCTTTTAGTAAACACTCAAGAAAAATCTACCTCTTAAAATTGGCTTCCTGAGATTTGACCCTGTTTTGAATTTTCTTTCAATTACCTGCCTGCATGCATACTACTCCTCCGAATTTTTGCAACCCTATGGACTGTAGCCCTCCAGGTTCCTCAGTCCAAGGGATTTTCCACACAGGAATACCAAAGTGGGTTGCCTTTTCCTCCTCCAAGGCACCTGCAAATTTTTCCAGGTGATTAAAAGCTTTGCAGGCTTTCTGGTGAATTCAAAAGAGCACTGGTTTTCCAGTGGTACTTATAGAAGTGTCCACAAGGCGGCAGCATTCTCGCAGTCCCAGCACTGGTTTAATAGGGCCAGGTTAGGAAAAGCCCCTGCTCCTGGCTTGTTCCTGGGAACGCCCGCTGCCAGAAGAAATGCCCTGGACTGTCTCAATACTTCCGCCCCTTACCCTTTACTCTGAACAGGTGTCAACTTATGCCAAGGGTTGATGCTGAGGTTTCTATCTTCTGGGCTAGGGTCTCCAAGGAAGGAGGCTTCTGTGGGGACCCTGGAGCACCAGGATATGTGGAAGCCAGGTGATACTGCAAAGCTATGCAGCCCGGAGAGTCAGTTGTTTTTCCAGCCCTTGCTTACCTTCCTTGTCCAGTGACCCTCCTGCATCAGGACAGTCTGGTCCCACCCCGAGGTTCCAGGCAGGACAGGTCCAAGAGGGATACTCTCTGACACATGCCTCCCAGCTCCCTGAGCCCCATGACTGTGCAGCATTAGGATGCAGCCAGCTCCGGCTCCAGGGGGGAAATACTAGGCCCACGGAGCCAGGCATGAGGAGAATCGAGTCAGCGTCTTTCCCTTGTAGATTGTCATTTAATTTTTCGTTCACGTGGGACTAGTGTTGATTAACACTGTTGTGTATACTTTAGGGGACAAGCATCTCTTCTCAGTTCACTTATCATGATGTGTACACCTAGTCTTTTGGAGTCTTGGCCCATATAGATTATTCCAGTGTTAAGTTTCTCTGTGCCAGCCAGTTGGGCCAGGTTTCTTACTGATTTTTATCTGTCAGTATGTAGGTGTTAATTCCAAATTGTTTATTCTTTCCTCCCAGCATTTCCCTTTTGATACCCTAATTTTCTTTTCTACGTTTGTGAGTCTGTTTCCCGTTAGAAATTGATGTGTTTGTATCTCTGGTCAGATACCACTTGCAGGTTATATGGTATTCTAGTACGGTTTATCATTCATTTTTGGTCATGCGAGAATTTTTGTTGCAAAGGTCTGATTTCATCGAGTTTCATGGCTGAGTAATTTTCCCTTCTGTGTACCCCGTCTTCCTGAACCATCCTGTGCTGACGGCCACTTTGTTGCTGGCTTCCAGGTGTGCACAGCATGTTTCAGTGAATGTGAAGTGCATATATATATATATTTATATTTGTATTTATTAGTGTTTCTTTCGGATATAAGCCCAGGGGTGTGAATACAGATCAAATGTAGGTCTGCTTACCATTCACGGAACCTTCATAGTGTCCTCCTTTAGTAGCTTTACTGGTTTCCCTTCGGAGAATATGACTAGCATGTTTCCTTTTAACCAGCTCCTTTCTAGGATTGATCGTAGAGTTTTCAATAGTGGACACTCTTGACTGTCCCAAGGTGAACCCCCTTTGCAGTTACCAGTGGCGTTTCTGTCCTGATGAGTGCTGGTGTGTTCTTCTTATGTGTTTTAAAGTTTATTTGCTTTACTTGGAGGATAATTAGTTTAAAATATTCTTTTTTTTTTTTTTTGCCAGACATCACTGTGAATTGGCCACAGGCATACATGTGTCCCCTCCATTCTGAACCCCACGTGCACCTCCCTCTCCAGCCCGTCCCTGCAGGTTTCACAGAGCACCAGCTTCGCATGCTGTGCTTCACATCGCCCCGCGGTGGTCATCTGTTTTACAAGTTATAATGCACGTTTCAGTGCTGTTCTGATAAATGACCCCAGCCTTGCCTTCCTGCACTCAGTCCAGAAGTCTGTCTACTTTCCACCTGTTTCCTTTGCTGCCCTATGTGTAGGATCATTGGTGCCATCTTTCAGGATTCCATACATGCTTTAATATACGGTGACTTACTTAACTCTGTATAATAGGCTCTAAGTTCATCCACCTCATTAGAACTGACTGAAATGTGTGGTCTTTTTTTTTTTTTTTTTTCAAATAGCTGAATAATGTTCCATTTTGTATATGTCCCGTAAATTCCTTATCCATTCATCTCTCAAAGGACAGCTAGGTTGCTTCCACATCCTAGCTATTGCAAATAGGGCTGCAATGAACATTGGCATACATGTATCTTTTTCAGTTCTGGTTTCCTTAGGGTATGTGCCCTGTAGGGGGATTGCTGGGTCGTATGGTAGTTTTAATTTTAGTTTTTTTAAGGATTCTCTATACTGTTCTCATAGTGGTTGGACAGATAGATAAACATAGAAGAAGTGGACAATTGGGGTAGAACAGTCAAGTTTCGAGATTAAGTTAGGACAGAAGCCTTTTCCATCACTCCCCGCTGACCTTCCCTGTTCCATCTGCACATGGATGGCACAACTTCAGCCGTTACTCTGAACTTCCTGGTCCAAGCAAAAATTGAAGCATGAATTTTCTCCCAGTGACAATCAAATGAATAAAGCAAATTGCTCTGGAAAAGAGGAGCTTTTCCTGGTCCAGGGAACTGAGAGAAATGTTTCTGGGGTGAGTGGGAAGGTAGGGTGGAGGTTGAGTGGGTACCCAGTTCTAAAGACAGCCTCATGGGACATACTCGGCAAGTTTCACAAGTGGCTTCCTGGGAGAGACCTCAATGCAGCAGTGGCAGGACATCAAAGCACAGTTTGTGAAAGTTTACAGAACCCAGGAATGTGACCCTGAAATGAGCTCCCCTGGTGACTCGGCGGTAAAGAGCTACCTGCAGCACAGGAGCTGCTGGAGGTACGGGTTCAACCCCTGGGTTAGGAAGATCCCCTGGACAAGGAAATGGGAACCCGCTCCGGTATTCATGCCCGGAAAATCCCATGGACAGAGGAGCCTGGCGGGCTACTGTCCATAGGGTCGCAAAGAGTCAGACATGACTGAAGTGACAGCATGCATGCATGTATGACCCTAAAACAGCTTCTTGTTGTTTAACCCAAGGATTAAATGTAGAATAACCTAAGGTATACTACTTAACACATTTGTTTTAGTTGTTGGTTCACACCTGCTTACCCCCCAAAGTGATCATCTTATCACGTCAGGACCACGCTTAACTTTGGTTTGATTAGTGGTAGAAAACTTCAAAGGAAAGGAATAAGGAGAACCATCTTTGCGTGTGACTGTCTGGCAGTGATCACAGTCCTCTGCTTTGAATTCTATGTACTCAGAAAGTTAGGTTCATAAGAGATCCAGGATCTGCACTTAGGTCGTCAAAGGTTTTCTTTACTATTTCTAGAGGCTGACCTCCTGAGAGCTTTGCACTAGCTGAGCAAAAGGACTGCATCTAGGTCAGTCAGCTTCTGGCACTTGCGGAAGAGAGGCTTTACGGATATTTAGTGAAGTCAGCAGTACTCAAAGTTTTAAATTTAATTTTCCCTTTGTCAGTTGTATTTGCAACTAAGATATTACATTACTATATAGTGATTACTGTGTCTGATTCAGAAAGAAGTATATGCATTTTCAGTAGAAAAACAAAAAGATTTATCAAATGACTTCGGTCCTTCTCAAATAACCCTTCTCTCTATAATTTAGGTCACAATGTGCTCATGATGATATATATACCTTCTTTTTGTTTGTTTATAAATTAACTTCTGCCTGTCTTTGTACACTTAGGAGCTTGATAAAGAACTCCCGGTGCTTAAGCCATATTTTATTGATGACCCTGAAGAAGCTGGAGTGAGGGAAGCTGGCTTAAGAGTCACGTGGCTGGGACATGCGACGGTGATGGTGGAAATGGACGAGCTCATCTTGCTCACAGATCCCGTCTTCAGTGCTCGGGCCTCCCCATGGCAGCACGTGGGCCCCAAGCGGTTTCGTCGTCCCCCGTGTGCTGTCGCCGAGCTGCCCCGGATAGACGCGGTCCTTGTCAGTCACAACCACTACGACCACCTGGACTACAATTCTGTCATCGCTCTCAACGAGCGATTCGGTAACGAGCTTAGATGGTTTGTGCCTTTGGGGCTCCTGGACTGGATGCAGAAATGCGGCTGTGAGAATGTGATCGAGCTGGACTGGTGGGAGGAGAACTGTGTCCCCGGACATGACAAGGTCACCTTTGTGTTCACGCCTTCCCAGCACTGGTGTAAAAGGACTCTGATGGATGACAACAAGGTTCTCTGGGGCAGCTGGTCTGTCTTGGGGCCTTGGAACCGATTTTTTTTCGCAGGAGATACTGGTTATTGCTCTGCTTTTGAAGAGATAGGAAAAAGATTTGGCCCTTTTGACCTTGCAGCTATTCCCATTGGAGCGTATGAACCAAGGTATGTAGATGTCCAGAGAAAGCATTCCTGCTACATGGTAAATCAGCTGGGCTCAAAGTAGTCATGATACATATAATTTGTGGTTTTATTGGTGGACTTTGTTATACATTGGGTAGAGGCTTGTGCATCAGACTCAGTTAAAACTTTTTTTTTTAATTTTAAAGCATTTTAATTAGTCATATCAGTTAAATAATTATTCAAAATCAGAAATTATATTGCCAAGAAAGAACACCACAGTTTAAACAATTACTATACCTAGCACAAAGCTCATGTACTATTCCAACTAAAGTTAAACCCATTAGCTGATAATCATATCGGACCCCGGCTTTGCCTTTTACATGGAAGGTACTATCCTTATAGAAAGAACCACCTTCTGCTCCCTGACTGGACTGGCCCCATCCCCTGCCCTGTGTTGAGGGCAGAAAAAGCAAGGACTTGGCCTATGGCATCAGTCCCTGCTGATGGTCTCACTTCAGTCAGCAATGCAGTCATTCGGGTCAAGACAGTTTCACGACTGATGGTTTCACTGGCCCTCCAATCTCTCTGCACTCATCACCTGACTTCAGAGCAGATAAAGGTCACACTAGCATTTGAGACCCATCCACTGCCTATCTTTTCCTTAACTCTATTTAAAGAAAAAAAGAAGTGATTTCAAAGAACTTGGTTAGATTTCAGTGGACTGTGGTTGATATGTACATGTGAAGAGAAAAGAAACACTGAAAATAATGAGATAAGGGCTAATTTTAAAAATGTTGTATTTTCTAAGGTGCATGTGTAGGGTCATGTATGCAGACAGAATGGTATGTAGGATGGCATTTTATTTAGGCAGTCCTACAAAGAGAAGAAGGCTGACACAGATGAACTGATTAAATCTGAGCATTTGTTTCTGATTTTGTTATACTTTTTTTAAGTTCATCATAAACCATTTCATTACTATTTTTATTAATGCTTATTTCTCCCTTTCCCCCCAGTTTCTTCATTTAAGGGACTAGATATTTTTACCTTATTGAAAACTATTATGAACCATTAACTCTACCAGAATTTCCCTTTTCCACATACTTCTAATTCTGAATTCTAATGAAATCTCTCAGAATATCAGTCAACCTGTTTACACATCAATTTTATATGGTATTGATTCTTATTCAATGTATCTTCTTAGTATATTAGAATACTTCTTATATGTAATTGTGAAAAAAAGTTTTCATATGTAGCAAGATCCATGTGCCATATATATAGGTGATGAAACAATGTGTACAGCCTAAGTATACAAATGCACTCATATAATTCCCTTTCCTGCTTGCATTGAGGCTATCTTGTTCCTAAGATGGGAGAAGAAGCGGGGCGGGGACAGTGTTTGTTCTAAGTAATTAAATCATGGTAGCCTCTACTCTGCAATTCAGTTATCTGGTCAGTACTTAAAGTTTTAGAAATAATGTTATCAGAAGCATTTCAAAGTAGTCTATAAATGTAAGACGATTACACCCAAAATGATTTTCAGTGATCTTAGAATGTTTTCATCCTTACATCTGGGATCCCCTGTCATCAAGTTTACTATCGAAGTCAGGTGGGATTTTAAGTTTTTAATTTTTATACCTGAGTGAACATTTTAGATGTACTTCAGACAGACATGAAGGTAGAAAGGAGTATGTGTATTTCTTTGATTTGAAGTGCAAGTTTCAACAAATCAGTAGAGACTCCTGATTCTACAGTAAAGCCAGGAGAAGCTGTCTGCATCCTGCCCTGCCTTCTGCGTGTCGGGAGACAGAGCAGAGCAGAGCAGAGCAGAGCATCTCAGCTGCTGTTGAGCAGAACGCAGGGGCTCTATCCTGAGCCCTGCAGCTCCTCGCCACCGATAACGCCTCTGTGCTGTTGCGGACAGATGGGCTTTTCCACAGTGTCTCTGAACACCGGAGCAGCTCCCTGCTGGATCCAGGTCGCTTAGTTTTAACTGCAGCATGAGCTGCCCGTAGCAGACCCAGGATGTAAATGATGTGAAGACACTTGTTTTTCTGAAGTGGTGGCTGGGAAAGCAAAGGATTTACTTCTAGGTAGTACCTTTACTTATCAGGAATAATTCTTCGTCCTGAAAGTGCTGGTGTTATCAACTAAGTCGGTGCTGTATTTGACGCTCTGAATAAACTCTGTTTAATCCTCACAACACCCCTGTCAAGTGGGAATAGCTGCTATTTCACAGACAAGGAAGAGGCAAGCTGGAGAATTTGAGGTGGCTGCCAAGGCATTCCCAGGAATCGGTAGAGCCAGGGTTTATGCCCAGGCCCCCTGTCTCCAGAGCTCTGCTCTTACCAGGCATGAGGCAGCCGGTCAGCATTTCTACACTCTGTCCAGTCCCCCGAAGTCCCCCTTTTTCATACCAAACCACACACCTCATCTTTGGTTGTATGATGTTTAATTCAGTCCTTGATTAGTAATTGGATATTTTTTTTTTGCTCATGATATTATAAATTATACAGTAATTTTGTTTGCTTTTCACTTTTAGCATGTTAAAAAAAATGGTTTCTGTAAGTTATTCAGGTTATTTTGCAACTGAGGTTTTGATTTTTAATTTGTTACCCATTATTCCACTTCTTTGATTAGTACCAAGACTGCAAGATATCTTTTTAAGATAAGACATTTCTTCAGAATAAATCCTCAGTAAAATGAAAATACATGTGGAACAAAATCTTACTAGTCAAAGGGGAGTTTTGCTTGAGACTTGTAGTTTGTTCAAAAAATATTTTAGTGGTCTGAGGGAGATGGTTTTGACTACTGTGGCTTACTCCTGTGTAGAATCTTAAAGGTTAATGAAGCAGTAATTAGAATTTAGTATATATTTCAAAGGCCATATTTAATAAATTACTGTTTTCTAAGGTGGTTTATGAAGTACCAGCATGTAGACCCAGAAGAGGCTGTAAAGATTCACATTGATGTTCAGACAAAGAAGTCTGTGGCAATTCACTGGGGAACTTTTGCCTTAGCAAATGAGGTAAGTACGACTGTGGTCACAGTGTCATTGTGTGTCTGACATAGGATAGGATTCAGGCATCAGTGTTATCTGGCAGTGTGTTCAGAAACCAGACTAGAATCTGAACCTGTGTGGTCATCAGTCATCAACGTGAATTACAGTGGTAAATAATTAGTAAAACTATTTATATACAGTGAAAAAAACCTCTTCATTGCATGGGATCTTTTGAATTATTTATATAACCAGAAATATGTGTGGTCTTAAGAAATAGAAAAATGAATCATGTCATTCCTCTCAAGGCAGGCTTTTGTTTCCGTGGAAGATACAAGATATGTATGGAATTGCTCTAAAAATGTTATAAAAAGTGGGGTAGATAAAGGGGTCTCAGAGTCAGGGACTGTTACTAATTGAAGGGATCAGGGAGAGCTTCACGGACAAGGTGACATTTAAACCTGGCTGTCAGAAGGCATCTCAAGATGAGGAGAGTGTTGGCATGGAGATGGTGAGCAATGAGTTCAGCCGGGGAAGTAAGGCTGGACAGCTTAGAACTTTTCAGAAGTGTTATTTGTCTAGTAAACACTGTGTGTCTGCTGTGTGCCAGGCACTGGGATAAATAAATGGTGGTTTTATTCCTAGACTAGTAGAGAAGACTTCATTTTCCTATAAGGGACCTGGACCCTAGAACTCTGCTACTAGGCAGAGTTGTGGGATCAAACAGAAGCTTAGCAGAAAGCTTTCTCTCCTCTCCTGGAGCCAGGGCCTGTCCTCAGCAAAACTTAGAAACGGACAAGTGAACGCAGCTGCTTCTCCTCGCTCTCCACGGCACCTTCCACATTCCAGGGCCTCTCTGCAGGAGTCCTCTGCTTTTTAAGTATTCCCTCTCTCTGTCCTTTTTCTGGCCTGCCTTCTCCCTGGTTGCATCTTTTTCCATAATTAACACACTGCCTGCCCCCTGTCTACTCCCTCCCATCAAAATCCCCACTCTGCAGTGCTACGATCCTGAGCTACACTGCTGGGGGACACAACAGAATCAACAGCCGAATGACCATGGGCACAGGAAGGGTGGAGGAGAGTATGTGTTTCTGTGTACACAGGTTTACCGCTGTATTTAGTGGCAGTGTCTTGTTCCGTGTGTGTGCATTCCATATGTATATAAATTTAGATATAACTATGCTTATTTATGGTCCATTTATATTTCAGCAACTTAGGTGAAGTAATAGTATTTTATTAAATGCTGCAAGCAGAAGAGTCGAAGATGAATCCTGGATTTTTAACGAGTAACTGGGAAGATGGTTATGCTCTTGACCGACTGAGATGGGAACTTGAGGAGAGAGAAATCTCAGTCTTTAAGAGTTATTGTATTATTCAGTCTTACTCCTGTTAAAAATCTATACCTTCATCTTTACTTCTTAATGAAACATAAAATACAAACTCATTTAGTCTTTTTGACATTAGCTGTATAAATCTGACAACTGTGAGTTTGCTAACTAAATTATAAAGAATTTGTGGGGAGGATATTTAGCCTATGCTTTGCAGACAGTTTAAAATGATTTGCATATTGCTCGCTACAGTATAAGCAGCTTAAGGATGTCCTTGACTTGGCAACACTTAAGTCAGAGGTTGCTGTACATACATTTTATCTGAGGAATATCGAGTGAATTTCTTACATGTATTTACACATTTAAGTCACTAGTTTCGGTGGAAACAGACTGTAGGCACTACATTATATATGTTAACGTCTTAAATGACCAGGCTCGCCATTTTGAGTATCTTCTAGCTTACAAAGGGAACAGTTTGAGTTTTCTGGGGCTGGCTGCTTGGCCTTCAGTGGGTCCAGACTGCTGGGAGCTTTCACTACTTCCTTCTATTTATGTCTAATCTACTATCTTGATTAATGCATGCTGTTTGGTCCCAGGGCTATGGGGCATTTCTGTCTTCCCTGCAGGACTAAAGTGCCTGCACTAAAATAGTTTTCTTGCCTACTTCTCAAGTTATCTTCTAGATGGTTGAAGCAGCCAAGAACTGACCTGTGAAGAAACTCACAGAGATAGTGCAACATCAAAATCCATACTAAGTTATAGCTTATAATTAAAGTTACAGTTTAGGAAAGAAATTTTTAGTGTGAGAGAATTGTGTGTTTTATTATTGGCTGAGAGCTGTAGAACTCAGGGGAAGTGGGGAAGAGTTTCGTCATTTTGAAATCTCTTAAAAAACAATTTTGCAAAGGAAAGCTTCTTGACTTGGGCTATTAAAGTTATATTTCACTGGTGATACATTAGCAGTCTCCTACGTGCAAAGAAAAGACTAACAGATTTCTATTATCAGCTGACCTTAATAAGTGGCTATTTCTAGGAATGCGGGGTAACCAATGCTTAGTTAAGCTCAGTACTCAGCAGACAGTGGCAGCGTATCTCTGAACACAGCCATAAAACTAGAAGTGAGCAAGCAGGGAGGAAAAAACTGGAGTGTGGCCAGTAACTGTTAGCAGATCCGTGCATCTGAAACCACGGAAAACTTGCCTGGTTTTCCTGCTGCATCACTGGCTGGCCCTTTGCAGTTTCTGGCTGGTTCCTCCTCTCCCTCCCAGCAGTGAGAATGTTAGGACTCCATCGTCCAGGGACCCCTTCTCTTTTCTAATGGGTTACTTCTGGGCGAGCTCACCAGGCTCATGGCTTTAAACACGGTCTGTGCACTGAAAGCTCTCTAACCCAGGTTTCTCCCTGCAATCCACGTTACCTACTTTCCTCCACTTGGATGTCCATCAGGTTACAAAACCTTCATAACTAAAAAGTTAAAAAGCTTCATACCAAACTTCCTTTTCTTTCATCTCTGTAAATGGCAAAATCCTCCTTGCAGCTCCTCAAGCTAAAATCTTTACTGTCGTATATCCTCTGTCCCACTTTCTCCAAATGCAGTCAGCTCACCTTTCAGACCATGTTTGGACTCTGACTGCTGCTTATCCTGTTCACCAGGCCACGCTGCCCCTTGCTGTCTGTTCACCACACTGCAGAGGGCAGCGACCTTTACCACTAAATCAGATCATGACACTTCTCTTCCCGGAGACTCCCCCCAACCCCCAAGTCAAAGCCACAGCGCCTCTAACAGCCGCCTGTGAAGCCCCGTGCAGTCTGCTCCTTCAGGTGTCTGTTCAAGTGCTGCCATCTCCAAGAGGACTTTTTAGGTGGTTGTATTTAAAATTAAAACTCCACCTCTGATACTGTTTTGTCCCCAGAACATATCACCCACCCCAAGACTGTTTTCTTATTCGTTCACTTCTTACCTGTCTGTGAATTGGGATGTAAGCTCCAGGAAGGCCAGCGCTCTTATTTGGCTCCCTGACCTGGCTACTCCGGGTACTCACAAGACACTACTGCCTGAAGGGTAGCAGCGGGCTTACCGCCGGCGATCAGAGTAGAGACCGGGTGATTTTTACTCCTGCTTTAACTTTCACATTTTACAGCTTTTCTGATTGAAATTGGGGGGAAAAAAAAACCCTTTCTGCAACAGCTGCTTTCCCCCCTCTATTTGATATAAAATAGCCACTATCCAATGTACAGACTTAACTCAGAAATAACTGGTGAAACGACTTATGTTTTATACCTTTTACTTTAATAATTATAACACACTCAAGCGCTTTTAATTTATTTGGAAGACATTTGAGTAGGTTGAAACATCCTTCAGTAGTGTGCTATCTTCACTTTTTTTTTTTTTGAGCTGGGTGAGGAAACAGTGAAACTCCACTTGTCAAATCTATTCTCCAGCTCCCTCTTCACTTCACGCTACAGAAGTGGTCTCTGGCAGGGGCTTGGGGATGACAGCCCTTCTGCAGGCAAAGATATTGTCTCTAGTGTTTGCTTACACACATACTCTTCCTTATAATCTTAAGTTTCTATATTTTCCCCAAATATTGGTAACACTTAATTCTTTAGCACTGGTTCCATTTAGACTAGAATTTCATGTAGGGAAATAGTGATCAGAGTTCATGCAGTCTAATGTTCAATCTAAGTTGGCACCAAAGTTGACATACATGGTGTTAGATAAATTGATCAGTGTGACACTTGTATCAACAGTGATTATATATTAGAAAGTGATTGACTCACTTGCTAATCTTTCGATGAAATGGAAAGAGATTTTAAGCAGGCTATGTTGGTTATTCTAGTTGAAATCTTGTTTGAACTATCCTCTCAAATATAGGTGTGCTTAATCTTTTTCCACTTTTGTTTCTCTCTGCCCTTTGCCAGCATTATTTAGAGCCTCCAGTGAAACTGTGTGAAGCTCTAGAAAGGTACGGACTTAAGACTGAGGATTTTTTTGTCCTGAAGCATGGCGAATCAAGATACCTTAATACTGATGATGAAGATGTTGAGTAATATGAACATAAGAGCTCTTCATGAAAAAGGCATCATTTGATATACATGTGAAAAGACTAAGAAATTCATGAATATTATGATTTTTTACATTTGGAAACAACTTCTGTAGGTTTATGTTATCACCTGATACTAATATGATTGCTGGTCCATATAAACAAGAGTTCAGAGGTGGGTCATTAAAATCCACATTAGCCGACTCATTATTTAAGGTCCTGTCTCAGCGACATAAACACTGCAATGGGCTTTGTTTTGTTTTGTTTTTTTAACAGTAAAGCATTCTACTTTCATGGTAGAGTTTTGAGGTTATGAAAAACCAATTTTAAAAACTCACTTCTCTTTTTTTATTCTTAGGGGCCTTCTGCAAGGTAAGTCAAGGCTATATACCTACCTAGATTTTCTCAGAGACCTGCACAGAGAAACATTTTTTATAGTCACAGTAAATTATGACATTGATTCCCATATGCTTATAGCAATTTGTGCTCTATTAAGATTATGCCAAATGGTAAGTGATTTATTTTTTTAAACATGAAAACATAGTTTGGATTAAGTTACCATTTGTAAAGACAATTTTTTAAAGAGAGGAACAGGATATTCTATGACACATCTACAATCCTTATGGCAGAAGCCCTCTGAGCTGGGAAGTGTGGTTATGAGACATGACTTACGAAAGACAAATGTACATCTTATATGTTGATAGACCATATACTTTGGATTTTTATTTTTTCCTTATTCCATCTCCTCTCTGTGTATATATACTTTTTTTTTTTTTTCTGGTTTCTTAGCTGAAACTCCAATGTCAGTGAGATTTACAAGTATTCTATGTTTTACATGATTGTGATGTCTTACATTTTTATATCCAATGATCCGTAAGCGCGGTTCTACTTGTATTAAGCCTGTGTGGGATGTTAGAGGTTAGTAAGAGACAGTGATTTAGTCATAGACAGGCTCTGCAGGTACGTGGTGACTGTGACCCTTCCGAAGGGGGAGAGCCGAGCAGAAGCCTGTCTCCCTCCCTGATCGAGTCTCAGTAAAATGAACTTTATTCATACAAAATAATCGAAGTACAGGTTTTTCTACACCAAACGCTACCCAGGCAGTGCCCTGTAATTTCTCTCACATATATGCACGTAGCCAATCTGAACTTCAGTCCTGCTTCCACCGTGGACTTTCTGTGTGCCTCAGTGTCCTCGTGTGCAATAAGAGGATGACTCCCACCTACCTCCAAACCTGAATAAATAATAGTCATTGGTGTTTTTTTTTTTTTTTAAGCACTTTGAAAATACACTGCCTACTACAGATAGGTAGATTTGAAAGTGGAAAACAGGCTACTGCTTTTAATATATTTTCATATATTCAAGCATATATAGGAGCAGTAAAACATTGAGGACTGACAAGTTTATCTCCTTTTCCTGCATTTTGTAAATTTGCAGAGTTATAGCCAAAATAAAAGTAAACCTTTAATTTCAGTATTTCTAGCTACAAAGATGCAGCAAATTTGTTAAGGGGAAATGTATATGTAATACAGGTAAATGTATATGATTTGAGGGCACTAAAGCACAGAAAATTTCCCCATAAAATAAACCTTCAGAAGGAAAAAAAAAAACACACTTTCACTCCAAAAGAATATCTCGCAAGCAGACAGGACTCAAGCTGTTAAGGCTTACTGGTGGATTAGCTCTGGCACGCGTGGCCCTAATACTAGCCGGTGCGCTGTGGTCACCTTCCTTGCTGTTGCACGCCAGACTGAAAATTCATCTCTTACCTCATCTCTGTGAAGCAAGCCATGCACCTCTTGCTTGTTATTTTTTCTCCTTAATGGCCTTAGTGTTAATTTTGTTTTCACATGTATTGTTTCACTGAGGGTCTCCAAGAACTTTAATTGGACTTGCCTCATTTTTCTAGGCATCCTCCATGCTTTATAATTTTTAACATTAGCATTCTTGCCACTTTGGCATTTTGTTCCTTAAGTACATTGGGGCTTCATCTTTCCTATCTACATTTTGAAGAGTTTTATGTGCAAAGCAAAGACAGATTTTGAAAAATTAGAGAAATCCCCTCTGTTCCCTCCAGCCAGTTTAATACCTTTCATTTGTGTTATCCTCTAAGTCAATTTCATTTTTCTCTTTGATTAGCTAGTATCCATACCAACATGTAAGATTTTATTGATATTCATTTCTCCTGTGGTCTGAGGAACACTTTGATACTCATTGCCCAAGAGGGTGCAGCCATCAAATAGGACCACCTAAAAAAGTAAGATGTGCCCTGACCTGCAGAGTTAAAGATCTAACTGTGCATTTTCACTGTGTGATTCTTTCTAGATAGTTGAAATGACTCCCCCCTGCCGATTTTCTCTAGCAGTTTGACATTTCAAACTCAATGCTCTGATCCTCAGGAAATGTTCTTTGAGAAAAAGAATAGAGGGAGTTTTAGAATACAGTGCTGCTACAACACATTAAAATCTAATCTTGATTTTAATGTGTGTACATTTTGAATATATATTTTCATTAAATGAGGAAGACTACGCAAAATTGTTGTAAAGAAATGTGCCTTTCAGGGAAGTAATACTTACATTTGCATCACTGAAAATGATTCTTAGCGCTCATAATGTACAGCTAGTTGAGAATTTTCATCATATACTGAATGTTTTCTACTGTAAAAAATATTTCTCCCAAGTTTCATCTCTGTATCAGTATAACCCTGAGAAAGCACATTTTTCTGTTTCAGGATTTGTAACTTCCTATGGAAATCTATGTATTTAGAAATGAAATTTAAAGTATTCTTCTCTTAAAGATTTGCCTTAAATATGTGAATAGGAAACCTGCTTGCAAACTGATTTACTTAATAACTAAGCATGGTGGTGGTCATGAACTTGAATATTACAAAACATGGGGATGTGGGGTAGAGAAAGGGAAGTCAAACATAGCAAATTGTTACAGTAGTTTATGGGACAAAAATACTATTAAAATAACTGCTGAGAATCTTTATCTTATAATTTTAGTCATGTAAAATATAGATGAAAATTAATAAAACTTTTCACTTAAAGGGAGAAAATAATTTTGCCACTTTTTTCTACTTAAAAAAAAAACCTATGAATTTTTCACTGTGAGCATACATTTTGAACACTAGACTAAGCACCTCTACAAAGAAAAGTCATTTCCTCACTCTCCAATCCTGCTCTTAGGAGACTGGGTTTCATTCTAGATATACCAAAATGCCTATATATATGAATGACACAAGCATATATCCATATATAAGCATATGTTTTTAGATTTAAAAAACCACAAATGGAGTCACATTATAGCTATTTTTCTACAACATGTATTTTGAAAAACAATTATATTTCATGGATGTCCTTATGTATCAGCACACTGAGACTTTCTCTTTAAAGTCTGGATAACTGATTTAACCAACTCCCTTTGGATGAATTTTGATTGATCAACTCCCTTTGGATGAATTTTGATTGATACCAGTATGTTATATACAGTAAAGAGGAGTGGGTATTAGGAAACATCTTTCCTAACAGTTAGAAGTTTTCATGGACTAAAAATAGATTCTAATGATTAGAACAGACCTGAGTGGCAGGTGGCCTTGGGAGTACAGGATCTCATCACTACTAGAACAAGGTCCTTCCTAGGGCAGTTAGGAAACAGTGTTGCTGTCCCGGTGGAGTAACTGCAAATCTCTTTCGACAAGGGAAGGCTAGCTTACATACAAAACGTCATTGTCGCTCTGTGTAGAGGGAATAGCTGAAGTAGCTTACCAAAAAGCAAAATAGAAACAGTTTCAGAACAAGCTCTTACATTCATCTGGTGTCAATAAAATGGTCCAAAGCAAACCAGAAGACCATGGCTAGTTGCAGCTGTGTTGAAGAGGAAATGTATTTACAGTGCATGATATTTACCGTTTAAATTCAGCAGTTGAAAGAATCTCTTTGTGAGGAAGGTGAAAAATGAGAAATTTCTGTGTATTACTTCTGGACCGCATTACTCTTTGGAATAATATGACCAACCAATTAGAATTTTGGTATCATTGTTACCTTCTCCTTCACGTCTGCATCATGGTGATGAACTAAACCTTTCATTTTCTGGGCACATTCTTTTCCATTCAACAGGGAAAACAGTGAACCTGCAGGGAAAGTTGGCTGCGTGGCTAAACTGCGCTCTTCGTTGAGGCAGTTTGTTATATTCTGAAGCAGTGTGAGAACTCGAAGAAGAATCTCCTTTGGTACATGGCCATCAAGAAGTGAAAGGAATGATGGGTCCACCTGAAATAGAAAACAATGAGAATTAAAAATATACAAAAACATTTTCCATGGGTCTTTTCACATGTACTGAACACATTTTAAAAATCTTGTTATGGAAAACTATCCCTGAGACAGCATAACATAAATGTGTAAAATCTTAAGCACCCCTGTATAATATACCAAAGGAAACAGGAGGTTTTGTTTTTTTTATTTATTTTTTCCCAATTATTTTTATTAGTTGGAGGCTAATTACTTTACAATATTTTAGTGGTTTTTGCCATACTTTGACATGAATCAGCCATGGATTTACACGTGTTCCCCATCCTGAACCCCCCTCCCACGAGGTTTTGTGTCTTAGCTTAAAAATACTGTTTTCTTGGAATCCTAGAATGTAGTCATTTTTCCTCTTTAAGATCCATCATATATAGTCATCATGGAAGCTCATTAATTCAAGGTGCCAGGTATAAGGGCTGAGCAGATGAATAATAAAACAGGGTCCTTTTTCTATAGGATATTCTATCATAGTACAAACTATGCTTCCTTCAAAACACCACAGCTTTTAATTATCTTGTTCATTTTTTACATTTTCTGTCTCCTCTACCTAGACTGTAAGCGGCAAGCAGGCAAGCACCACATCAGGCTGCACTCACTGGTATATCCTAGCACTCAACTGGGCATCAGACGCATGGTGGGGCCTCCATGAATACTAGTGTCCCTGGATACTGAGATACATTGAGCATTAACAGGTCAAGTATAAAAGGTGTGATAAGTACCCCAAAATGAACAGACACAAAAATTACCATCTACTACTACTAGGGAGACCTTTCCAAAACAGTTTTCAGAAGTAAAATATGGTCTTTACAGAAAATTGAGGTGATTCATATAGGCAAAGAGAACCAAAACAGAAGGAAAAACTGCCTCTAATATTGCTCCTCAGGGAGAATTCCTGTTAATAGTTTGGGATAAATCCTTTCCTTCTGGATCTGTCTGTCCAAACTGATATATTTGTATAAACAGCACAAATATGCAGGTACTTACTTGAGCATCAAGAAGTCGATCTGTCATGGCTGGATTTTCAGACAAATTCAAAAGAAGTTTCAAAACTTGAACCTGAAACAAGAAAAATATCAGATTATTTCAGACAACCAAGTGTGGATTTTCTCTACCTGACGTGCTGTCTCCCAACCATGTCCATATTTTAAAGTCCTGCCTGTTCATCAAGGTCTGATTCAAATTCTCTCCATTCCACGAAGTCTTCTCCATTCATTTTACTTAAAAAGCTTAGTTTTTCAATTATACTGATAGGGAGAAAATAGTGAATGTCTTCACTTCCGACCACTGGCCCACACAAATACTTAACACAGGGTAACTAACATGTTATATAAATAATTTTTATTATGATTACTGTTATGTAAAATGTGATCTTTGGAACAAAAAAACCATCTCTCAAACTTCAGTTTATTTCTACTTAAGTATGAAAATGTAGAGAAAGTTTGGTTATGAAGACTTACAATAAGGTGCTTTTTATTAGCTTTCTGTGATTCCTGGTACATATTGTTATGTGAAAAATTTTACAGTCTTTTAAACAGACAGTGATATAATCAGCAAAAACATGTTAACAACTTAACACTGGACTAGCTAAACTACCTGCATTCTTTTTTTGGCATTTCATTTTTAATTGGAGGATAACTGCTTTACAGTATTGGTTTCTGCCATACATCAACATGAATCAGCCGTAGGCATACACATGGCTTCTCCGTCTTGAACCTCCCACCCCACCCCACCCCCTCTAGGTTGTCACAGAGCACTGGGTTTGAGCTCTCTGCATCAGACAGCCATCTAGTTTATATATGATAATGTCTATGTTTCAGTGCTACTCTCTATTCATCCCACTCTCTCATTTCCAGTGTCCACATGTCTGTTCTCTATTTCTGCATCTTCATTGCTCCCCTGCACATAGGTTCATCAGTACCATCTTTCTAGATTCCATATGCATGTGTTAATATATGATACTTTTCTCTTTCTGACTTCCTTCACTCTGTATAATAGGCTGTAGGTTCACCCACCTCATTAGAATGGACTCAAATGTGTTTATGGCTAATATTCCATTGTACATATGTACCACAGCTGCTTTATCCATCTGTTGATGGACATCTAGGTTGCTTCCATGTTGAAGCTATTGTAAATAATGCTGCATTTCAGTTACGGTTTCCACAGGGTATATCCCCAATAGTGGGATTGTTGGATTATATGGTGGTTTTATTCCTAGTTTTCTTTTTTTTAATTTTAGGATAATTGCTTTTCAGAATTTTATTGTTTTCTGTCAAACATCAACATGAATCAGTCATAGGTGTACATATACATCCCTAGTTTTTTTAAGGATCAGAACTTTCCCTAATCTTGCCCTATGGAACCTTTGCTGGGAAAGAGGATATGCTGCCACCGTGTGGACACTTCCCATAATTACAACTGGAAAAACCAGGGCTGAGGGGAACTGTATTTTGCAAGGCCTGCAGAGCTATTAATGAAACCTGCCCTGGAGAAATGTGCTGTGGCAAGCAATCAAAAGAAAATTCCAAATAGGCTCAAATTTCAAGCCACTTCAGGAGTTAAGTTTTACTCACAACATGAAACACATAAGAGGATACTCACCATCCCTCATTAGTAGAGAAATGCAAATTGTCACTACAATGAAGGATCACCTTGCACCAGTCAGAGTGGCCATCATTAAAAACAACAACTGCCAGGGAGGGCGGGGTGAAAAGGAACCCTCCTAGCCTGTCGCTTAGACAGTAACCTAGTGACGGCCACAAGGGAGCACACTATGGAGGTTTCTTAACAAATTAAGTAGAGCTACATCTGATCTGGAATCCCACTCCTGGATATATGTCTGAAAGAAACTGTTGAGACAAAATTCATGCAGAACCAGCCCAAAGGGTATTTGAGGAGAAAACCAGATTTTGAAAAGTCTCATGCAGCCAAGTATGCCCTGGACAAGAATTATCCACATCCAACAAATGGAAGCAAACAAAATGTTTATCAAAAGGGGAATGGATAAGGAAGTGACACATGTACACAATACAATGTGATGCAGCCAAGAAAAAGAATGAATTATTGTGATTTTCAGGAACACAGGTAAAACTAGGGGGTAATTAAAGTGAAGAAAGTAAAAATCAGAAAAGTACAAATATCAAATACCACTTAAAAGTGGAGTCTAAAAATACACATAGATTACTTGAGAAAGTATAAGCAGACGTGAGTTAAAAAACATACTGAATGAGAAGGGGTGAGGGATAAATTATACTGTTAGTCTAAACAGACGTAATCACTCTGTATGAAATGGATAATCAGCAAAGACCTAGGAAAGGAGTTTAACACTTTGCAATAAGCTACGTGGGAAGAAAATTCGACTGTGAATCAATATGTATATATGCAAAACTGAAAATACATTTTGTATATCAGTGTTCGTACAGTAAGAAATAAAAGTGAGTTTAATTAAAAATAACAAGGATGGAGACAAGCTTTCAGTCTGTGTTGTCCTACTTTTCACTTTAAAATTAAACACTGAATCAGGACTTTCACTGAGGCTCAGGTTGCTTTAAAGAACCACAGTTGGGCTGAGGAGAGCCTGCCATTTTGTGGCCGCCGCTTAGATCAACAATATTAACAGAGTTAAGTGATATTTAATCTGCACAAGGCCTGCAGGGCTCTAAACTATACCTATTCTCAAGAAATGCCCTGGGGTAAATCAACAATAGAGAACTGGAAACAGGGCAGACTTTAAAGGAGCCACTTTCAAGAGGTAAATTTTATTTATACTTCATAAAATATAAGCACATCGAGAGATACAGAACATCACTCATTATTAACATATACACACTGATGCATGTTGACCAGATAAAAAGGAGCTACTGAATAGCATAGTGGACAGTACTGAACACTAATAATCTATGGGCAAAGAACCCGAAAAAGAAGATTCAGGTCTATGTACAACTGAATCAAGGTCCTGTACACCTAAAACAAACACAACACTGAAAATCAACTTTGCACCAGTGAAGAAGAAAAATTAAATGGGGGGAAAAGGTGCCATGAAGAAATGCTATTACCCTGTGGCTCTTTCCTCTAAGGGAAATTGTAAAAACCTGTGCTGATGGGCAATTAATATTCACAAGGGGCAGTCAAGAAAAACACCTGGCCTCAAGGTATATCCTGGGGTATGACATCAGAAAAGGTTTCAAACAGGGCAGATGCTCAGGAACCCAATTTCAAGAGCTGTTTCACTCACCTTGTTTACAAAAAGAAAAGATGTCAATATTGCTAAATATTAGAGAAATGCAAATCAAAACTACAAAGAGATTTCCTCACACCATTCACAATGGTCATTGTCCAAAAGAAAATGCTGGAAATGGTGTGGAAAAATGGAAACCTCCCTGCACCCGTGGTGAGAAGGTAAATTAGTAACAGCCACAATGGAGAACAATGTGCAGGTTGATTAATAAATGAAAAGGGGGATGAAATTAGAATAGTCACTAACATACAGAAAAATAAACTCCAAACATACTAAAGACCTCAACAAAAGGATGAATGCTATAGAGCTCATTTCAGAAAGTTCTTTTTTGATCCACTTCTTAGAATCAGGAAAAATAAAAATAAACTAATGGGACCTAATTCCACTTGAAAGCTTTGGCACAGCAGAGGAAACCATAAATACAACAAAAAGACAACCCTTAGAATGTAACTAACATTTGCAAACAAAGACACCCATGAGGAGTTTATCTCCAAAACAGCTTATGCATCTCAGTATCAGAGAAACAACCCAATCAAATAGGGGCACAAGATTTAGAAGAACATTTCTCCAAAGACACAGAGATGGCCATTAAGCACATGAAAAGACGTTCAGCATTTCTAAGTTATTACAGAACTGCAAATCAAAAGTACAATGTGATTATCACGCAGTTCAGAATGGTCATCATCAAAAAAATCTACAACAATAAATGCCGGAGAGGGTGTGGAGAAAAGGGAACCCTACTACAACTGTCGGTGTGACTGAAAGTTGTCAGGGAGTGTTTGACGGGAGGATGCCTACGTGCTGTCTCTCATGAGTCCTTTGTCCCTCTTCAAGCAGAACAGCACGCTGCTCCCAGGGACTGAGGTCATCGTGTGAGGCAGGCTTGGGTCTCCTTTAGTAAACATTCTCTTTTTGACAAAATTGCTTAGTCTTGCTCTACCTTCATGAGATATGGATTGTCTCCTGACCTTGTGACTAGGATTACCCCTTGTTCCCTTGGTAACGGTTACTGTATGTTTGGTTTTCTGATCCCTATCTTTCCCGAAAGAAGTTTCTTGTGCTACAGCCTATATATATGCATAGAAAAATCATTAAAGCACCTTTGCTTCATCAGAGCTTAGGTCCCCGGGTCTTTTTTGTCTCTCTCTCTCTCTCTCTTTTGCTGGCTGAGTCTCTGGAGCGTGGAGACCCATTGTGCTCACTTTTCTGCCCGGGCTTCTGAGAACCCCTCGAGAGGGCGCCTGGTGCCTTCATGAGCAATGCAAGTCCTGTGTCAAGGACTTTATTGGTCCTCTGCGTAAACCAAGGGATATCAGCCTCTTTCTCTCTTTCACTTTCTTATCGTCGACTCCGTACCACCAGGTTCCGGTCCATTAAAGGACCCCAACAGAAAGTCAGTAAATCCATGGAGAACAGGACAAAGATTCATTAAAAACTAAACGGAGAAGTATCATAGGACCCAGCAATCCCATTCCTGGACACAGATCCAGAGAAAACTATAATTTTATTTTTAAATTAAAAGTTTTATTAGAGAAAAATAGAACCACCATGTACACAGGGAAAAGAGCACAAAAATTCAACTGATACAGAATTGAAAGTCGCAACTACCCTATGTTGTTTGCAATTACTTTTCAATTTCTTAAATAGCTTCCCTTAATTTTTAAAATAGCCTTGCCAATTTTTTTCAGCTGAAATAGCATCAAGTTTTCAAAAAATTAAGAGCCTCAGTGAAGGGACCAGCTTTTAAGATAACAAAGGTGACACCAAGAGTCTCCTAATAGGACCAATTCTACTGAAAAATTCCTGAAGCACGTAACTACTG